GAGCTTTAATTGCACGTCCCTAATGGCTAATGATGTTGATCACCTCTTCATGTGCTTAATGGCTACATAATATATTCTTGCTCTGACCAGTGGTGTTAAGTGGTTAGAGTATCGTCCCATGCACTGAAGGGTTTGATTCCCTATCAAGGGCATGTGCCTGGGTTGCAGGTTCGATCCCTGGCCCAGGTCGCGGAGCATGTGGGAGCAACCGATTGATGTGTCTCTCTCACATCAATGTTTCTCTCTCTCTCTCCTTCTCTCTCTCTCTCCTTCTCTCTCTCTCTCCTTCTCTCTCCTTCCTCTCTCTAAAATCAATTAAAAAAAAGAAAAAAGTATTTTTTCCACAGTGTACACTAGCTATCGGCAGGAATATTAGTCTGATACAAATTTCTCTGCCATTTATTGCAAGCAGGACTCACCCAAATGTGTTATTATTATTATTTAAAATGTTGTTTTGGTGCCCTGGTCTCTGGATTATTAGGCACGTAGTTAGTCTTCATATGGGTAAGCCAACGCTGGGCTTTGGTTGTCTGTTCTGAGAATTTACTTGATTTAATTTAAATTTCACGAAATAATCCAGTAAATTAGTTATTCCTAATGGCTATCAAAGTTTCAAAGGCTGAAAATAGGTCTCTAATAGTGACAACATCTTGAATGTTTAAAGATTAAAATAACCTTTAATCTACTTTCTGATTCAAACTTCATTGTTGTTGTTTTTTTTTTATCCTCACCTGAGGATATATTTCCCAATGATTTTTAGAGAAAGTGGAAGGGAGAGACAGAGAGAAACACCAAGTGAGACACATCAATTGGTTGCCTCCTGCATGCCCCTGACCAGGGCTGGGACCCTGCAACCAAGGTACGTGGTGCCCTTGACCGGAATCGAACCCGGGACCCTTCAGTCCGCAGGCCGACACTCTAACCACTGAGCCAAACTGCCTAGGGTGATAGTTCAAATGTTAAAAGGTAAAAGGATATACAATAAAAAAGTTCACTCCTCCTGCATGTTTTTAAAAAATTGGCAGCTACATTTTTGACCTCTGATATTATACATGAGGCCCGGTGCATGAAATTCATGTAAGAGTAGGCCTTCCTTCCCCCGGCTGCCGGCACTGGCTTCCCTCCGGCATCGGACCCGGGCTTCCCTCACAGAGGAGGCCTCACCCATCCCCTGCAGCCTGCTGGTTGGTGTCCTGGCCTCCCTCTGTGGGGCGATCATGGAGCCCCCCTGATGGATTGCCCTGTCAACAAGTGGCCTGGGCCTCCCTCTGTGGGGCGATCATGGAGCCCCCCTGATGGATTGCCCTGTCAGCCAGAGGTCTGGGCCTCCCTCTGTGGGGTGATCATGGGGCGATGGGTGGGCCCCCGACCAACTGCATCACATCTGCCTTGGCTGGCCTGGTGCCAGTGGGTGTCATAGCGTGGTCCCGGATGGTCGCCCGGATGGTCATTCCGCTGTTCGGCCGTTTGGTCGACAAGCGAATTGGTTGTATCTTCTATGTCTTAATCCCATGAATTCCTTGACAAAGAGTATTTTTTTAAAAAAACAAACAACATCCTGCAGCACGAATCGTTACAGAGGAGGGCACTGATTCCATTGAATTCTGCAAACGGTCACTGAGCCATACCATGCACCCGGCACAATGCCAGCTACCGTGGCGCAGAAACATGAGTCATATGGGTGAGTGTGCACTTCTGTTAATTAGAGAGGAGCAGAGAATGGAATTAAGGACTCTGTCAAGAAATCTGATGCCTTCTGCTTGACCCAGTTGGAAGAGTTGATAGAAAAAATTCCGCCTGTGTCCAGCTGACACCTGGACTTAAGGTTACATTCTTGGCCTCGTATTCGCGAACAGGGTACTCTCCAGGTCAGCAGCTGCCCTGCTACAGCCGAGCTCAGCTCAGGGTCCAAGAACCTGACCATAAACTTGGTGTCTAGTTCACAGCTCTTAGGGGCAGAGAAAAACCAAGCCAAGCTTCTGCAACAAGAATATTGAACTGCCCGGCTGGTGTGGCTCAGTGGTTAAGCACCAGCCCATGAACCAGGAGGTCATGGTTCAAGTCCAGGTCAGGGCATCTGCCCGGGTTGTGGGCTCCATCCCCAATGGGGGGCGTGCAGGAGGCAGCTGATCCATGGTTCTCTCTCATCATCGATGTTTCTCTCTGTCTCCCTTCCTCTCTGACATCAATACAAGTGTATTAAAAAAAATAATTGGGCCGCAAAGGGGTGGGAAACCCTAAGGCCTAGGAGGCTGAGAGAGCATTTGGATGATGCAGACAGGTGGGATTTCACCCGCAGTGACCCTCTGGATGACGATCGCTCCTTGTTCTGTCTTTTCTCCCCCCACCCCCAACCCCCCCAGCACTGCTCCTCGGAGGGGTGGGCGCCGGCGCCCCGGAGGCCTGCA